AAAAAAAAAAGAGGAAATAACGAAGGAAACACGCGAGGCTGGCCACGTGGCGTCCAAGAAAGCCCTCAAACCTTATTAAGAAGTAGAGGGAAGAAAAGGGATAGAGAACTTAGATAATATAGGGAGATATCTATAGTCTCTTATCTTTTATCTCTATCTTTTATCTCTACTATCTCTCTTATTCTTATAAGGAAAAATGTCTTCCCTTTGTTATGACGCCACGTGGTTCATTCTCTGCATTCCATTTCTTTCAAAGACCAATGTGGGAGTAATCGGAAAATTGTTCAAGTTATATATGTTATATGAGCTAATATTGTTGGCTCTTCCTGTTTTTTTTATCTCCAGAATATGGTGCCTCTCATAACCAAAAAACAATAGCTCCGTGTTTGGATGCATGCATTTTATCCTACGAAATTGTGTTTTATCTCTCTTTTAAGAAAATTTCATAAAACACAGCTTGTTGATGCATGATGATAATGAGAATTTTAAATTTTAATCTTTTGAAAAAGAACTGAAGATAAATTATTCTTACATTTTGAAATTCTGTTATTTCTGGAAATATGGGTAACCTTGAAGTTATAAAGTATGAACTATGAAGTTCCAAATCAAAGACACACACTGGAAAATATAATCTAAAGCTTACAAGCCATGTGCATATGACATAAAGAAATTAAATATTAAGCACATAAATAAAGGGATGTACCCCATGATGAAACACACCTGTCAACAGAGGAAACAAAATATGATGATGCACCCTAACACTAGCAGCTTGTTTGGATTGACAAAAAAAATTGGATCAAGAATAATACATGAAATTCAGATAAAACAACATAAAATAGAAAATGCATGCTCTGTGCTAATAGATTATTTAGTGATAGTCACTACATATAAGAATGATGAATAAATATATATGTTTTAAAGCCTAAATTCCTAAAAAGGATAAATAAATAAAATTATGAACATGGACATAAATTAAAGTACTCATAAATATAAAAGAATGATCAAATTATTCGGAAGAATCAAGGAATTGAACCTTCGATCTTTGTTGTTGATGCAAAATTATTCTATTTTTTTTTTTACCTAGCAAGCTTGCTCTCCATAGTAATTATAATAAAAATCAATCAAGCAATGTAATAAAGTCTAGAACTTATATGAG